TAATCAAGTGCCACTTGCCCTTACACCTCTTCGCATAAGAAATACGAATCAGCGTAGAAAAAGAAAAAAAAGAAAAGAAGAACTCTATCCGAGAAAAAGATGAAAAACATGTCTGAATGCATCTCTTACAGAATACATAATAGTTATTCAACCATTACAACCACAAATAAGAAGGAAATTTTTGCTGAAATTTGTCTATTAAGTAACTTTTATACTGTTCGCGAATATGACATGCATTTTTGGCACCAACGCCAGTCTACACTCAACCCTTCCTGACTGGATTCGCAAAAAAACCTACATGGGTGAAAATGGAGTTGTTGGAGAGGTCCATTGTGCTCTGCGTCTCTGACGCTGCGGGAAGAAAGAGCGCAGCAACGGATGGGGCACCGGCTGAATCATTCCCGAATGGAGCAAGGAATGCTTCTAAGCCCTAGACCAGGAGATGTACATTTTTGCCGACGCATAGTTTTGAAGCTCAATGCTTCAATGTAAGAGAGATCTTGACCACCTACAAAAAAAACTGTCATGGAGAATCGTCATGGAGACCAAATGATGCTCTCTCGCAATGAAAGAACACGTGATATCCCTTTCAAATTCATTTTTACAATTGATATGAATACTTTATTGATAAAGCACCGATTTTGCCCTCCCCCAACTCAATGATTTAACAGACCCCCCCCCCCTATAAATCCCTAACCTATTTTGGGGACGAGGTTGAAAAGCCAACTTATATTGAATACCGCCCAAGCCAAAACTGTTCCTAACCAGGGAGCTGATAGAGCTGTAGTTAGTGAATCTAAGTGAGTATTCCTCATAGTCCCTTCTGTGAGTTGTAAAAATAAGCAGTGCCAAAAAAGGTTAATTAAAGTAACTGTGGAGCTTACAACACTTTCCTGGATCCGGAATTCGATGGAATACGATAGAACAATCGGGAAAATCTTGTGAATGTGGTAGCAGGAACTCGGGGAGATGACAAGAAGGAAGGGGGTTTAGCGAAATGCGTCGACGATCGATGCAGTGAAGGCGAGCGCCGATAAGAGAGCAGAGTGCGCCGACAGGCAGACGGTGCAGAGGCAGGCCAAGGTGCAGAGACACAGACCGGCAGAGATATGCGAGAGACGCCGTGGGCGTTGGAGAGCGCTGAGAACCAGATGACGAGTGGTCGGCGGGGATGAGCTCGGCCAGCTGATTCAGGTGAAACGCCCGTGAACCGGCAACAAAAACGGAGCTGCGCGTGACCCCGGGTGTAGGGTTTGGGTCCTGTTCTACCCGTTTTGATTATTAGTGATGACATAACCTGTTGTGGAGCCTTTTAACAGGACTTCTAAAATTGGTTGTGGTGTTTGGTCATCGATCAGCTAATGTTGTGAACCATGCCCTCAATCATGTGGTGGCAGTAATTTTGGCAGGAACAGTGTAGGTGGGTGATGTGGTCGAACCGAAAATGGAAAACGACCATATTGGCCTTCGAGGAAGACGGCAACAGGTTGTTGCTGCCTTTTTCAAAATGGGAACAATACCCGATTAACTTGCATGGTTTCTCTTTGGGTGTCATTTGTTGGCTCCCATGACGTCACTAGCTTCTACCAAAAGGTAAACTACGACAATGTTAGGTAGTCGGCATTGATCGCCTATGCTCTTACACTGAAGCCCATTGGAGGTGTTATGTGGGAGGAAGTCGGATGCTTCTGCGTTGTCATACCCCGTGGGGTCAGTTTTGTTCTTGTTGGGGTTGTATTCGAACCAGAGGGGACGCTCGATTAGCAAAGATTGGGAAACTGCTGTTGAAATCGATAACACATTGGGAATGCAACATGCTTCCAGAATATTCCCCCTCAAAAGATGAAAAAGAAGCAGTATTTCTATCCGACTGCGTACAGTCAGGTGTCGAAACCGCTCCAGTGGGGAAGGGTGAAGTAACGAACATAGGGGGTACTTCAAAAAATTCTATCAAGACATGGAAATTGGGTGAGATTACAACACCTCAACACACTAACATTACGAATAGGTGCTTTTTTTCGCTGAAAAACGCTTATTTCTGATACAAATGAAGAAGCTAATAACGCTCCTGACCTTGACAAACACGCTTCTACGACCAGAAACGAAGCGTCATTTCGTTTTTCATTTTGGGGAGGTTTGGTCTTATTCGACTGTGAGACTCTGATGGAGTAGAAGATCGGCAACTCCGGGGAGGGCTGGGTAAGCGGGCATGGTATTGCAGGCATCCCCCGCCTTCGTCCAAGACCCCGTAGAGAGAACACGTAAAATTCATCGAAATCTTAGAAATTTTCAAAGTAATTTCGGAAGAGATCAGATGATTTCGCCCTCCTTTCTCTGACAAGGCTCTAACGATCACCCGTTCATCTTTCCACTCCCCTTATTGCGATTAGTTTACACTACCTCACGTGCGAAGTGAAATTATCCTTATTCCGCATTACAAGAAGCATATGTGAGTGTGAGAAATGAGCGCCTTTCGAGTGATAGGAAATGATGATAGGCTGTAATAGGTGGTGGTACACTATGAAAACATGCTTGCTTGAGGAGATGCATCCTTTTTAATGCTTTCGATTTTCATGTACAAGAATCGTTCATTTAGCGTTCACATCTTGAGCCTACGCTTGTAGCAACAATGTTCTCATGAAGTACCCCCATAATTGACCATAGCCTCGAATGGAACTTACTAGTTAACCGCTGATAACTGACGACATAACAACGATGGAGCAGTCATCATACTTAAACCTTCGTATCCATGTAGACACCCAGCTTAAGTCGAGATTTCAAGAAGCCGGTGGTAGATTTTGTTGCTACTGATTTTGGAACAAAGGCAAAAAAGGGTGATGGCATCGAGCTCGTTTTTATCATGTATTATCAATTTTTATCTGCCCTTATCACAGTTCTGACTTAGTCTTAGTCTTACAACGACTAGGCTCAAATATTAGGGGACCAAACTTAAGCAGCAGCAATATATGTTCGCACTGGAGTTATTCGCCTCATCAGTTATTACGGCCATCAGAAAAACCACTGCGCCACTCGCATGATTTGTTCTAAATGATTCGTGATATATTTGACCAATTGGATGACCCATCCAAACAAATCAGATTTCATAGTCCCATGAACGCGTGATACAGTAGCCCCCAACGCACCACCACCCAAACCGTGGTCCTCGCCCAAACTACCTTTTTGTCGTGTCCCATATGTGACAAGTGTTTGAAGGCGCCTGAGGTATCTTCGGGTTACTGTATAACACATTCACAGGAATTTAAAATCCGTCTTGTCCCATTCCCTGAATTTGGTCTGCTTGCCTGCATCCCTTCCGGGTTTAAACGCTCTGCTACAGGAGAACATGACCTATTGATTGACGGCGATACACATAGACAGAAGTACACACATCAACACACACACACACGCCGACACTCTCCAACACACACATACGCACACCAAAACACACCAACACACAGGCATACCAACACATACACACATACATACACCGACACACCCGCATACACACAAAACACACACACACAAACGGACAAACACGAGGACAATCTAACAGACACACTGAGTGCGTTGTATGTATTAGTAAGACCTCGGGAGCGAAGGTGTCAGAAAAACCCCATGACAAGGCAGAACGTTCAATAAAAAGAATCCAACAAAAAACGACTTAAATTCATGACGAGTTAACAAATGATAGGCAGATAATTATTTGCATATTTCCGTTGAACAGCTCACGTTTCTCCATTTGGGGAGCTCATCGGACAGACCGGAGGCGAGCGAGAGTGTGTGAGTGAATGAAACGCAATCAATCACACAATAAACATCTATATGGCAATGAATCATTCTTTGAAATTGACGATTGATATCAAAGGGGTGAGCCACCAACAAAAACATTGAATTTATTGATCAGCCGAAAATTGGAAGTGTTGTGAGTTGCACTAGACCACTGAATTATCGCCTCCTATCAACAGATGGGAGAAATAGAGGCTCTAAAGGGCGATCACTATTTATTACATTGTCTTCGAGATATTGCTAATTTCCGTTTGGAGGAATGCAACATCTAATAATCTGCGACGACTTTTCTAAAACCTACAAATAGTATCCACGGATTTCTCACGGGGCTCCTCTCTCACTGAAAGGTCTCTAGCCGGTGGTGGCTAGGCTACGTGGCGCGATCGCAGGTGGTGGATAGGGGAATATACCGCGGACAAACCGTCGGTACTCGCCAATGGAGAAGTGAACAGGTGAATCCAGAGGATGGAATCCATGGCTCTGTGGCGTTGGGTCGGTCTGTACCTTCTATCTCCTCGCAGATGTATGCATGCATATGTGTAGAGAGTCTACGAGTGCAGCTCGTATTCAGCACACCGTCTCAGCCAAAAGCTTACAATCGAGTATTGAAGTAATCTGGAAGTCAATTTGGGGCTGCCTACAATACTTAGTTTCTTGTCCACTCTGACTGTGAGATATCCTAGCTAGTCACTCGCGGAGTTTCCTGAGTCTACATTGCCCCGCGCCAGAGCCTGAAAGGCTCCTTGTGGGTCCCAATATGTCAAAAGCACTAATATGAGTGGACCTACTTGCCTGATCTGATCACTTAACGGAGCCCTTATCACGGCAGCGTTGGGCAGGAACGCTAATAAGAGGTGCCTAAAATTTCAGAGCCATACAAGGCTGCTTAAAAGGAGGACTGCCTCGCAGACAACATCTTATAATATCGAACATTGAGCAGGCGGAACGAATACTGGTCGGATTTGGCAGCGCTTATTAAAAGATCGACTTAAGACTGAACTTAACGAAGACGATGTTCTCGAGCAACGGATTGGTTCCGGAGCTACCGGAAACGAGGAAGGAGGAAACGACTGGTGCGGGGAGCATTTAAGGATAATGAGCAAGTGGTGAAGAAGACAAAAACGTCTGACCTCGAGCTCATCTTTTCGACATTGCGATATTTCCTGCTCGGACGTGTGCTTCGGAGACTTGGACTCTACAAAAGCAGGATGAAAATGGTGTCAGCACGCTTTAGCAAGGATGATGCTCAGAATTTCTCTATACACGCAAGTGCATTGGGAAATCCGGAGTTTCGAGCTCCGACACCGAACGAAAAGAAGTTATGTCGTTGCTTACGCCAAGGAATCGAAGATCAGGCGTGCTGGACACGTCATGCTGCAAGTGTGATGACCGCTGGACCAGGGCGGTAGCCGACTGGGACCCTCGGGGCGTCGAAAAATTAGGACGGTCGCCAGCGCGATGGTCAGGCTTCTTGAGAAAGAAAGTGGATTCGGACTAGTGGAGGTGGACATGTTTACTAGTGAAGTGATAAGTTACCGGAAAATTAATTGTTCTGGGTGTAATGTCTCCCCTTAGGGTTGGCTGCTTTGCTGGAGATGAAGGCTGGGGAAGGCACTGGAGAAGGAAATAACTTGAAGAGTTGCGGGAAGTTCGAGAAGGGGGGGGGGGTCCTACAGAGGACCAATGGTGGCACGATCTTTTCGTTAACGCTGTTTCTGTCAAAGTCGTTTGCTTCACGCTGTCTGCAACATCTCAGGCAACTGTACTATGATTTATGAGCTTCTTCTGGGAAACAGCGGTTCACAGCTGATGATATTCGACCGTTGTTTGTTTACTTAAGAGAACATCAGTTGCCTCAATCGCCTGAAAAACATACTTAATGTATTTTGGCTAAAGTTGCTCTATCATTAGACAACATATGATTTTCAGGCAAAAGGTCAGGGATCACATGCTGTCTGGTGAGGATAAAGGACGACTTGAAAAGAATGTTGGACCTCATGACAAGTGCAAGAGTCTATTGAAACAAATGCAAGCTGCTGAATAAATGGAACAGCTGTGTGAACTCAAAGAAAAATGAAGGTGCAAATGCGAAGCATGACCCATGAAATAGCTGTGGCCCTCCATCCATTCGATTTCTGGGGGAAAATTACAGTTCAAAAACTGTTTTCAAAATCAAATCCCTAGAAGCATAGAGCTTGAGGTGAGAGGTCTTGGGGTGATTGTGAGTACTTCAGTTCCAAAAAGCCCATCCACAAGTTACCCAGTTATTCACAGCTTCATCAGCGACTTTACAAGATACTATTAGGTATGAGGTCACCACAGAATGATATATGGTTCACATTTAATTTTTCGCTTTACCCGATCCGATCTGCTTCTACTGGGGAATCTTCTAAGACTACCTCGAGGCGTACAAAACTCCCTTTCATCTGAAATTCCAAACGTCCGCTTTACAAAACCTGGCGTCTCCATTTCCACGAATTCTAGTTTTGGAACGTTGTTGCAAGCTACGACGAAAAAATCACTACTACGGTTCAAAGAAAGTTGCCGGAACGATTACGGAGCTATTAGAAAAAGGATGCTGTCTCGAAATTTGAACTGAAGAAAATCTTTGGATCCGCTCAGAAGGAATAAAGTGAAAGACTTCAAGGACATGCTAGTGATCGCTGGCAAGTTTGCCTTCCAGTTATAGCATATACAGCACCGCAAAGAAAGTTCCAAGCCCTTGTCTCCGTCCATCAGGCATGAGGAGCAACATATGTTGATTAAACTACTCCCATACCGTTTAGAACATCAGGCGATGAATTCTTTTCATTAATGTAGATCCTAAGCAATACCAGCTCCATCGTCCCTCAAAGCATTCACCATCTTGAGACCGTTGTATTATAATGTCCGTCTCTAAGGTTTTTGGGACGCACTCTTCCTCTTTTGACTCATGGCACTGTTCACTACATGGCCATACATGGAACTCATTTCTGCGGCATACGTAAGACATGAAAGTCCAATAGAAGTCTACGCCATGCCACAGTCACATGGGGGATATCCATAACATCACGGGTTAAAGCTTCTTCAATGATGCTACGGTCCGTTTATCGTATCTTCATGATCCATAGCAGGCACTTCGATGGAAAGCATCGAAGGAGCAGCAGAATTAGCCACCATCAGGGGATCACAGCTACCATAAAATGAGCCCAGCACTTAGAGAACTTCGGAGAAGCTTTGCGCAAGCCTGGTTGTCTGCCTCTCAGAAACCGATATTCCTTTTACGCCTTGTCTCATTACTAGCCCTTTTATTACAAAGTTAGCAAAATACAAATGTTGCATATGTGAAAAAAGAATATTGTTGTTGTGTTATATTTCTCAGCCATATCTGTATCACTGGTAGCTCTAGGAAATTAGGGCGCAATCAGAGTAGGGAGGGGAATACCCATGAATTTTTTGTTGGTTGACGTTTGACGAGTTTCAATGCGGAGAGACGAGCCACGCCACGCCTAGGGAAAAGCCACGATTTCGACTTCTAGTACCTCAGTTTGTCGATATTCTTGATTCCATTTGTTACACCCTTTATTACAGTCCTACCCTCCTTTCTTGCCTGAACTTGATCAGGGGATCACAGAATTTCTTCTGTGGTCCCCGATTCTGTTCAGGCATGTTTTGATGATTGGCAACATAATATATCAAGTTTCTCCCTTTTCTTTTTCCCCTTCTCTTAGAAATCAGTTTAGAACTCATTACTTGGGCATCTCGCCTCTTTGCTCGCCTACTAGCAATTGCATTCCCATTCCCCCCCCCC